TGCTTTGTTCTTGAACTGGCGCACTGCGCGACGAACTCGTCTTGGCCGTCTCGTATCTTTTTCTCTAGTTACTCTTTGAGCATAATGAGTGTCTTGTTAGGAACCGGGTAGCAAGAACTATTGACAAATTTGAGTGGTCGCACTTTAGGCAAAGTAATTAGCCGTTTTCGCTTAGCTTTAAAATCTATGCTCGTCATTTTTTTGTGTTGGCTCACTCTAAGTGAGGAGGGGGCTGACGCGTCGATTCTCCGTGAGCGTGATCACCGCACCATGTGCGCTCTCTGTTTACGCGTGAGGCCACGGGGTAAACGACGCATGGGAGATATAGGCCTACGCCATGGGCCGTCGTCGTCGCTGCCACCGCCTTGTAGTGCTATGCCATGCCCGCGCCTATGCCGTGCGTGCGTGTCAGTCATCTTCTTCATTGTTCTTCTTATTCTTGCTTTGCGCGTTTAATTTACCACATGCGAGGCCGCCGTCAGGGCGACGTGGCTTCTTCCCCACCGTGCGAACTACATAACCGTCGAGTAGCTACCATATTTGTTGTCCCGTAGCATAGCCGCCTTGTCGCCCTCACACCACAACGAGTCGAATCGCGCCCTGTGTCATGCACTACTGCCCGCTATGCCCTGTCGCGCCCTCGTGCTGCTGTCGACGGGCGTTGTTCAAATTCACAACACATGGGCCATCTCGGGTCAATTCTTCCCATCAGTAGCTAGATCATGGAGCTGGCCAACTGCCCGACCCACATTTAGCCACAGTCATGCTTTAGCGATGGCCAATTTCTGAGTTCCGTCGCCGCCAGTTAGCTCGCTGTCGGAGCAAAGCACGATTGGGGATGAGGCCCTATCCCTTGGTTGAGGTCCAACTAGTCACCCCTTTGTGTTCGCCTTGGCCCCCTCGTGCTGTTGCTCACCTCGGTTTGGTCAGGGACGGCGCGAGTAGGGACCTGACGTGGTCTTGCCATGCTTGGGCGCCGCCGTCCAGTGCAGGCGTACATGGCCAGGGTTCCTCGGGTCTTCTCCGTTGCTACCGATTATGCGGCTGGTTTCGTGGTAAGCCCCTTTTCCTTTGCCGCCACCCCTATCGCCTCTCTAGACCGTAGAACCATCGGAACAGGAGCGCCGCCATGGGTGTTGTTCACTGGCGTGGATAGCGCACCAGGAGTCACCACCTAGCTCCCAATCGTCGCCTGGGTTTCATATCGGCTCTACGGTGCTAGCCGGCTTGCTCCCTTGCTCGACGCACCGTGCTTTCTGCCATCACGAGTGTGACATGTTGGCCGGAGCTACGCCGCTGCGCCTAGGCATGACGGGGGCTTTGTCTTTGCGAAGGTGACGTTTTTTGGGGTGCTCAGTGTGAAGTATGTCTCTGTTGCAATAGTGCGCATTGTGCCGCGTAATAAATAGTTAGACCGGGGCTCTTTTGCAAAAACACAGGCACATGCGTGGGCTACTCGCTGTGGGCCGATGCTGGGCCGACCCGCTGCGCGTGCAGCCATTCCGTGCGGGCCGTAGGGGCTGCTGGGCCAAAAGGGGTTGCCGCCGGCTCTTTCCATTTTCTAAATGTTTTTCTAATATAGGTTTCTATTTAACTTGTAAAATCAATATAAAATAGTATAGGAATTCAAAAATTATGAAACTAATTTTCTTAGGTTCCTAAAATCAGGATCTATTTGTTAGTATAATTTGTTCACCTAGTTTTAAGATGTTTATAGGGTTGCTCTAATTGATTTAGAATGCTTAATATTATGAAAATGTAAACTTGTAGGAATTTTTGTGGTAAAATGATGATAGTGTTGACTCTGAAAATTTTACAGTAAACTCCTAATAATATTAGTTACTCACTGTAATTTTTATAGCTCTAGAATAATTAGTTTACTAGGTTAACTATTGAGCCATAGTTTGGATATATATTAAATCAATAAAATAGATAAAGAAATGCCTTGAGATTTCATGACTAAAACAATTGTTGGGGAGTAACGTCTTATTCAATAACATGGATACGTAGTTTAAGTACGGTCGTCGTTAAAACTAACTCGTTAGCTTGAGAGGCGTAAATCGTATTTTACGAGTTACGGTTGCAATTGATTAATTACGTCTCTGCATTGCATCCACACATATCATAATAGGGACGACGATGGATCGCGGGGTCATCGGAAGTTGCTGGTGAGATGGTACTTTTGGAGATCGTGTCACCAAGATGGAATACTAACTTCTGATTAAATCTTACCCAGACAAGCCTCGGTGCATAACCCCTACTTTTCCGCACTTTATATTATATTTGTGCATTAAGTTTTAAGGAGTTGAATGAAACTCACTTGCATATATATATATATATATATTTATCCCATGAGTCATACTAATATGATAGGATCGTGTAGATTGCTATGCTACAGGACTCCGGTAGAAGTCGAGTGATTGCCTGTCACTCGCGAGAGATAGGAAATATATTATTGTTGTTACTATATTATTATCACTTGGAATATATATATATGAATGATAAATAGAGATCGGGCAGGGATATGGTTTGAGTATTGGCAGGTGTAAGAGGTTGTGTCCTGCGACCAACGGGGCATAGCTTGGTTACACTGTTTTCCCTGTCTGTGTCGGTTAAGGATCGGTCGTTGCATTGGATTCTAGGCAAGTCACAGACTTATTATCCTGAACACGTACTTGTGTATGGGCACGGAAAGACTTGTTACTCTCTTGTCATGGGTTTTGGCTCTTTTTGGACCGACTTTCAGGGTGGTTTTTGGGTGGAGGTCCAAACACCGCACTGAGTCCAGGACTCAGGGGCGGGGGCTTGGAGTCCAAGTTTGGACGGGGACTTGGACCCCGTGACAGGAGGGTAGTGGGTTGGCCCTGCTTGTGCCTGAGGTATAAGTGGGGCGTGTGTTTTGGGGTACCCAGCTGGGTACATTGATTCACGAATCGCCGACGATCCGGTATGACTTGTCTATAATCTGGCACCGTAGTAAGAACTGAAAGATGAAAGATGGTAAAATGATTTTGATTGCTTACCATTTGCTTGAAAGTAGCACATGTGCTTACATAGAATGGTTAGTTAATGAACCAATGTTGACTGCTAATAAAATTGAATATAAGGACGCACGTTTAATAATGCTCCTGCAGATGAAATAAACCCACAAGCCAGATAGTCTTGCATATCCTTAGAGTCTTTTCTTTTCTCCTGTCGGGTAAGTCTTGCTGAGTACAATTGAGTACTCAGGGTTTTATTTCCTCCTTTTACAGGTGACAAGCGGATGCTAAAGCTGACTCTTGTGTGTGGATTCCTCCTGGTGGGCTCAGTGGGGATTCCTTTGCTCTACGATCATAGTTTTTTATTTATAACTCTTACCAAATGTTTTATAAACAGAAGTTCTATAATCTGATGTCATAGTTTATATATTAATGTTTCCTCATTAATGAATAGATATTTATTTCCGCTGTAACTCTGATCACATGTTTATATTCCGCTGTTAAATTAAATTGTTCATAACTCTGATAACATGATCATATTCCGCTATTATAAACCATAAATATTATACTCTGATGTTACATGGAAAGTGATGTAAGAAATGATTAATAATAATGTAAGCTTTATTCTCTCATTTGTGATCCTGATAGAAAAAATATGGATTTTCAGGTAACCCCCTAGGGTGTGCTCGATGAAACCGCGTAATTTAATATCCTTCTTTGGGTACTTAGTGTCTAATGGAAGACGAGTACTCCTAAGAGACATTAGATTAGAGGATTCTGCCACACCTCGCCTCCATCCAGCGGCGGATCTGCCAGGGGGATTGGGGGGGCTCGAGCCCCTAGCGTGGCTGAGCTTGTGGAGGCCCCCCTCAACCCCCTAAATTTTTCTGTCATTGGAGAATGGAAAGGAGGAGCTTGAGCGTTGAGCTGAGGTTAAATACGATGCTGGAGCGTTAAGCTAAGCTTGATATTTTTGTCTCCGTGTAAACTTAAGTCCCCCTAGATTTTTATCTAGATCCGCCACTACCCCCATCCACCTTGCTCGGCTTCCGATGGTTCTCCATTAGCTAGGTATGTCGATATCCATGCCGAGGAGATCGATGAGGACGACGGAGACTTCCTCTCTTCCATATTCATGCCATTATTCTCGCCTATTGAAAACTTGCAATTATAACTGTTTGTCGTATCCGATTCATGACATTTTCTAAGCTCGAAACAACACTGGACCCACCTACACACCGTCGTTTTTTTTATATAGCCCAAAATATCCATCTGACTGCCTTCTATCCCCCTCAATGACATGCGGGCCCCACAGTCATCCCCTTCCTCTCACCTTCGTCCCGCCTTTCCCTCCGCCGTGTGTGGTGGCTGGCGTGCGGCCGTGGCGGCTTGAAGCGGAAGGGGTGGAGCTCTCCTAACGCGGCGGCGAGGAGCTTGCTCGGTGCGTGGCCGTGGTGGCTTGCTCGGCGCCCGGCCGTGCCGTGCTGCACTCCCTGCCGCGCTCGCTGGCGAGGGCACGGATGGCTCAGTTGCAGCCCAGAGCTTGATCTACGCGGGCGAAGGCCGGGCAGCGGCAGTGCTGGGCGCTGCGACGAGGATCCGGTTGGAGGCGGAGGCGGAGGCGGCGGGGGACCTGGGGTCCTCGAGCGGACGGGGTGCGGGAGTGACCACCTCTGGTTGGGGACTTGGGGCGGAGCCCGTCCTTGCGCCGTCGACGCGGGAGGACGCGACCATACAAAATTCCGCTGTTACAGATGTGGGCCATGGTTGCTCAGACGGACCTGATACAGCAGGCCAAGGGATACGGTCGATCTAGAATCGATCTCGTAAACCCTAAACCCGGCCGTACATCGGCCGCCCCGTCATTCAACTTCGTCTCCGCCGAAAGTCATTACCCCTGTGTCATACGCCGTCTGCAGCAGCCACTTCGCGCACCGCCCAACAGACGTGATCGGTCGGCTGATCGTGAAGAACAGAGACATCCATCCTATCGTGAAGCACCAGCACCCCGTGGGCGCCATGGCCGAGGTAACACCTGCTATCGCCCGAGGTTTGAACGCACAGTTAATCGCGGACATGGAACTCACGCGGTGTTCCACTAGCAGGATTTGAGAGAGGAGATGAGCAACATCACTCCTTCCACCGTGAACAGCATCAGGCCTTCCACCATGAACAGAATCAGCAGTGCTCCCAGTCTGTTGATGCAAAACACAGGGGTAATTCTGATGCTCCCGTGGGCGCAAAAAAACCTGTCAACCAGCAGCTGGTGCCAGCAGCAGAGCCAGATACATCTAAGGGGAAGAAAGCGAAACCACCTCATTGTTTTAGGTGCAAGTGCAATGGGCACACGGCCGACATGTGTAAAGCCATACTTGATTGCATTATATGCAACAAGAAGAATGCTCACTTATCATCAAAATGCCCAATTCTCAAACTCCCAAAGCCAGACGCATCAATGTTTGGATTTGGAAAAAATGAATTAGGTTTCTTTCGCATCCCTGACCTTGATCTCAAGCTGGAAACGTCAGATCCTAACCCAACAGGGCTGGTCAAGGTGACTGGGGGCACTTTGACATCAGAGACTGTACAAGCTCAACTTGCTAAGCTCAACAGATCGAACTGGAATTGGGAAGCATTACCGCACGGCCAAGATGCTTTCATAGTGGCCTTTCCTTCCGTTGAGGAGCTCCAGAGGATGGTGGATGTTGATTACCGCTTGAAGAACCATAGAGTCACTCTTATGATTTCAGATTGGAAGAACGATGGTGACGTACTTCCTGCTTACCAATTGGACGAGGTTTGGGTGCATGTCACAGGTGTGCCTCACACTTGGAGACATTATTTGGTTTTTTGGGCTCTTGGATCAGTCATTGGAACCACTTTTGAGGTAGATATGCTGACATACCGGCGAAAAGGCATCATTCGTATCTTAGTGGGTATGATGAACAGAGAGCTTTTGCTCCTTATAACAGATGTGGTTTTTGGGAAGGAGGGCTACAATGTTACTTTCTCCACCGAGGGTAGTGATTTTGTGCCAGCCTTTCCACCTCCTGCTCATGATGATCCTAAGGATCGGGATGGTGATGGGACAGAGAAAGACAGGGATATGGGAGGAGGACCTAATACAGAACCGGCCACAAGAAGCAGAAGAAGAGGTTTCAAATCCATCGACATCTGGACAGAAGGAGGATGAACCAGTGCCAATGCAAACAGCTGCAATGATGCCTTCGGGAAGCAACCACCCTCCATTTTTGTCTCCTCAGGTTACCTGTTCATTACCTATTCTGGTGACTCCACCGTCGCCAGGGGCTGAAACTAGGCGGTTGATGATGGCGCAGCAAAAATTAGCTCAAGTTTTAATGCACTCTGGTGGTGGGGCAATTAGCTTGATGCCGAATCAACTGAAGGACAGCTTGCCTCCTAACACTTCTACCAGGAATGCTGAACTGCAGCTACAGCCTTCACCTGATGTTGAACTGCACCAACCCGTTGTAGTTGATGAGGACCTGCGGACTAGCGAGCAGCATTTTATTGAGCCTGCTTCACCAAAATTGTTGCGGACTGAAAGCAGTACATGCAGCCCACATGTGCTGCCAACAGAAATGAACAACGCTGCTCCTACTACTCCGAGTATATTATCTGGTAATGATTCTAATTTGGCAAAGGAGATTTATGATAATTCAGTTTACCTTCGTCTCAGCACGCGAACTAACGTTCAGTCTGGGGATGGTATTACTGTTGCAGATGAGGATACTTTGCAGAAAGCGATGAAACGGGCTGCTATACAGAACTTGGAAAAACCACTTGAGAAAAATACGGTGGCTGACCATAGGGCTACGCCACAATCGCCTTTGACTTCTGAAGTCAAACATACTGATACTGGTATGTTAGACACAATTTCTTTTACCTCTTTTGCTACTCTACCCAATGATATCTGTGTTACAAATTTAAGTAATTTGGATTTCAATTTGGGAAACAGTAGTAGTAAAGTTAACATGTCTATTAATGCTCTAAAACATATTGAGATCGATAGAACCAGTGTCACATCCAGTAAGAAAACACAAACAGTAGGTGACTTAAAAGCCTCTTCTAGTAAACTAAATCTCTTGGATACAAGTGATGATGAGGGTGCTGAACTGCTCTACTCGCACACTTGGTCAGAGATGTGTCTGAAGTAAATTTTGATGATGCGGACCTAGACATAAGAATTTGTGATCTCATGGCAACTGCAAGAAAATCAAAATCTAATTGAAGAGATCAAAAAACCCGAAAGGAAGGAAACAAAAACAGAAAAAGAGTTTCTCCATGAAAGGTTTCTTCTGGAATAGCAGAGGTCTCTCAGACTTGGCTAAATACCGGTACATTTCAGAGGCAATTAGAGATCATGGGCTTGATTTCATTGCTGTCATGGAGACTGGGAAACAAGACATGTTAAATATGAATTTGTCATGCATTTGTGGTGGTGCAGATTGAGTTGGTGGAGCTGTCCCGAACAGGCCCTAAATTCCACCACACTCTGGTCTCGTATTTCTTATATTTATCATGTGTTAATTGTGTTGACGTAACATCCTAGTGATGCTGTTTACCTTTTGAGCTCGCTTCAGCATTACAAACGCTCCTACTCTCATGGTCAGGCATGATGGATAAGTCTCTGTGGTTTTTTTGTGGGGCTGCTGCTGTGCTCCTTGTGGCTGCATGGTGAAGAACAACATCCTTGACTGGTCATTGTGGTCTTGCTGCCCAAGGACAGCACAGCACCCTTGACTAGCATCTTAGCATCTAGGACTAGCATCTAAGACAGCATTAGGACAGCATCTAGGACAGCATGGCATATGCTTGGCTGGTTAGCAGCCTATAAATATGTATCCCCAACCCCTCGGGTTGGCATGGCATTTGTGTGAGTTTGTATGAGAAATAAACCAGAAAATTACCTCAACTCCTAGTGTCATCCTCTCTCGATGAGAGTAAGAATTCTGCTACTACCGAGAGTAAGAGTTCAACGACTAACAACTGGTATCAGAGCCGTACTATCCTGTAGCCTGAGCATCTCCTGCTCATCTCTCCTCCCAACCCCACAACAGCCCAATTTGTTGGCGTGGCAACTCCTCTCCGCCCCGCTCCTCCTCCTTCCCTCCTCGCAACGTCTGGCAGCCCTCTCCCCACGCAGCAGCTCTCCCCGGTAGCGCGTCATGTCCGCAGGCGAGTCTCGGCCTTCGTCGCCTCGAGCACGCTGTGGCGTCGGCAGAGAGGCCGAACTTGCCGCATGCAGGAACGCGAGCGAAGCGGTGGCAAAGACGGCGGCGAAGCGGCGGCGCCGTGCTGGGCGTGACGCGGCAGCGGCAAGCAAAGAGCAGAGGCGGCAGGGAGCGGGAAAGCGAGCGGCGGCGGCGACCGCTGGTTGCGGCGGCGGGCGGGCAAGTGAGGCAGCGGCGGCAAAGACGGGCAGCTCCATTTCGCCGACGACACCGCCGACGCGGACGCCGAGCTGCTAGAGAGGGAGGCAAGGCGCGAGCGGCTGGCGGCGGCGAAGGCAGCCGCGCACGCGCCACAGTGTGGCGGCAGCCTGCACGGCAGCGCGATCGGACGCGTGCGGCGGCACTCGGAGGAGGCGCGCATGGTGGTGGCGCTCTGGCAGCAGCAAGACGCCACGCACAGCGCGCGGGCGGCAGCCAGACAGCGCGGACGCGTCGGGTGGCGCTCGATGGAGGCGCGCACGGCGGCGGCGCTCCTGGAGGAGGTGCGCACGGCAACGGTGGCGGACGGGTCGATGGAGAGCGCGGCCTTCACAAGCAGCGTGGCTCTCTCTCCCCGGATCGGTACCGACGGGTCGACGGAGAGCACGACCTTCACAGCAACATGGCTCTCTCCCCGATTGGTACCGTGGTTACCACGGGCTCCTGTGTCAAAATGTTGTCGAGGACGTCGGTCCCGGCGGTGGGTGGCCTACCCTCACCAAGACCAACTACGCCGAGTGGGCTGCGGTGATGAGGGTAAAGCTCAAAGCGGCACATGTGGGAGGCAGTCCGCCAAGACGGCGACGCCGACTACTACCTAGATCGACGGGCTCTGGATGCCCTCATCGCCGCAGCCCCGCCCGAGATGCGCTTCGCTTACCAACAAGCGGATCGCCAAGGAGGCTTGGGACGCCATCGCACTTGGCGGCGCGCGGCTGGCCATCGAACCGCCCACAAGTCCACACCGCAAGCACTTCGCAAGGAGGGGAGAACCTCGGCCTTCAAGCCGGTGAGGGCGTTGATGACTTTGCTCTCCGCCTCTACACTCGCTGCGTAAGATGGTGCAGTTCGGGCGATGACACCCTACGGCGAGGAGAGAGCGTCGAAAAGCTTTTTCATTGCGGCCCCGAGAGAATTACAAGCGATGGCTCGCTTGATCGAGTCCTCGCTAGATCTCTCCACGAAGTCGATCGAGGAGGCGATAGGTCGCCTCAAGGTCGTCGACAATGATGAGCCATTTTGTCTCTCTCTGGGCCCATCACCACCTGGCGGGAAGCTCCTTCTCACTCGGGAGCAAAGTGGCTTGCCGGCCTAAGGTGACCGGAAGAAGGGGAGCCTTCTTCCGCGACAACGGTCGTGACGCATGCGTGGCAAGCCACATAAGGCGCGCAGAGACGCCAAAGCCGGGCGTGGACGGCTTGAGAGTGGTGATGCCAGTGGAGGCGCCAGTAGCGGCACGGCACGGCGAGCACAAGCCGGCACGAGACGACGCCGCCGCCAAGCGGCGCCTTGGCCATTGGGCCAAGGATCGCGCGACAAACCACGCGCGTGCCCACGTCATTGAAAAGCTCTAGTTTGGTTTTGGTTAATTGATGAAACCCTAAGTGCTAACCTAGTTTATCAAGATGATTATGAGATAGGTAGCACTACTCCAAGTGATGAAGCAATGACGAAGATCATGACAATGGTGATAGCATGGTGATGATCAAATGCTTGAACTTGAAAAAAGAAGAAAGAGAAAACAAAAGGCTCAAGGCAAAGGTATAAAATGTAGGAGCCATTTTGTTTTAGTGATCAAGACACTTAGTGAGTGTGATCACATTTAGGATAGATAGCCATACTATTAAGAGGAGTGTAACTCAGTATCGAAATGCGGTTATCAAAGTGCCACTAGATGCTCTAACTCATTGCATATGCATTTAGGATCCGGTGGAGTGCTAACACCCTTGAAAATATTTGTGAAAATATGCTAACACATGTGCACAAGGTGTTTGCGAGTGGTTGAGATGGGTTTGGGTCCCCTCTCCCTCCCTTGGCTCCATTTCAACTCTAACTTCTTCACCCTTGCTCAAATATACCCAACCACCAAGATTTTTTGCATGAATCCCGCCAGAGCGTAATAGAAAATAGACATTTTATTTTCTAAAAGCGCTGAATCAAGACAAAAAATGAAATGTCTATTTTCTATTACGCCGGATGCAAAATTCTTGGTGGTTGGCATATTTGAGCAAGGGTGAAGAAGTTAGAGTTGAAATGGAGTTGGAGATTAATCAAATGATCTTGGCGTCGAGTCTCATCGACCGATTGATTTCACTCACTCAATGACCGGACCTGAAAAGGCTACGTCCGGTCGAGGTGTCAGGCAACCTGATGAGGAGGTTGAGCACGGACGCTGGTCTGTGTCCGGTCAAGGTGGACGGACGCGTCCGGTCAAGAAATACGCCTCGGGAGCTTTATTGAAAAGCGACGATGCTGGGTCTTGGTCCGTCCCGGCCGCTTTTCTTGCCGAGCGTCCGGTCGGCACCAGAGCCGTTGAAATCGACGAACAGCATTTGAAGCTAGTGACGCGTGGCGTCCATCGGTGACCGGACGGACGAGGGCTGGCGGCGTCCGGTCGGTTTGACCGGAGCGTCCGGTCAGGCGTGTTTTGCCCAAAGTGAAGGGTACAACGGCTCTATTTGATGGGGGCTCTATTTATAGCCCCATGGCTGGCTCAAGGTCTCTCTTGCACATTTTCATTGACATAGCAACCTTGTGAGCTTAGCCAAAGCCCTCCCACTCATCTCCATCATTGATCCATCATCATTGTGAGATTGGGAGAGAATCCAAGTGCATTGCTTGAGTGATTGCATCTAGTGGCACTTGGTATTCGTGTTATGCTGATTTCGGGATGGCTTGTTTCTCTTGGTGGTTGCCACCACCCAGAGCGGTTGGAGCAGCGGTGAAGGATCGGCACGAGTTGATGATTGTTCGTGGCGCGCCGGTGATTGTGAGGGGAGTTGTACCTTCCCCGGAGTGCCGAAAGGTAACTCTAGTAAATTGCTCGTGTCATTGAGTTACCTCACTTGTGGGTCGGTTCTTGCGGTGTCCTATCGTGTGGATGAGGTTTGTGAAACACCTCTTAGCCGGCGAACCACCAAGTGTTGGTCGACACAACGGGGACTAGCGTGTTGGCAAGCACGTGAACCTCGGGAGAAAAATCGGTTGTCTCTTGTCATTTGCATTCTCCCGGTGATTGGCTATATATTCATCGTGTAATTGGTTCACTCCACGATCCGGCGGTATAATCGTCTCACTTACTCATTTACATTTCCGCAAACTAGATATAGCAAGCTCTTTAGTGTAATTAGAATTGAGAGTTTGCCTTGTGCTTTAAACATATCTAGTGGAGCTCTTTAGTGTAGCATTTGTGAGAGCACTTAGTGAGTAGTGGTCAAGTAGATTGTGTGCCAATAGATCATTGCAACTAGAATTGTTGGATAGGTGGCTTGTAACCCTTGTAGAGCTAGAGCAAGTTTGCATTTCGCTATTTGTCTTACTAATCAAAATTGCTCTAGTTGATTTGTAGTTTTTAAATAGGCTATTCACCCCCCCTCTAGCCATATTAGGACCTTTCAGTCGCACAGGCGGACGAGGAGCCGGCTCTGTTCATGGCACATGCAAGCATCGAGCTACCTCCAGCGGCACCGGCCGCAGCGCCTCTCCTCCACCTTGACGAGCCAAAAGCACACGCCCTCCTCGGCGGCGGCTCAAGCAGCGATAAGACCGGCAGGTGGTGCCTTGACACCGGCGCCACCCATCATATGACCGGTCGACGGGAGTTCTTCACCGAGCTTGACTCTAGCGTCCGAGGCTCCGTCAAGTTTGGGGATGCCTCGGCGTGGAGATCAGGCGTCGGCTCCGTCATCTTCACCGCCGCGGTCACGGTGAGCACCGGCCGCTCACCGAAGTCTACTACATCCCGCGTTGAGGAACTCCATCATCGACTTGGGGACGGTGGATGAGAACGGTTCAGCGTGGTGGTTGAGGACGGAGTCATGAGGATTTGGGATCATCGTCGCCGCCTTCTTGCCAAGGTATCCGAAGCGCCAAATCGACTCTCGTCCTTAATGTGCGGTGGCACAACCCTCTGTCTCATTGCTCGTCGGGACGACGAGGCGTGGCGATAGGGCCGCAGTGTTTCGGGCACCTTCACTTTGAGGCCACAGGCGGCTCGATTGCCACGGAGATGGTGCGAGGCCTGCCGTGCCTCGACCATGTGGAGCAGCTCTGCGACGTCTGCGTGTTGACGAAGCAGAGGCAACTCCCCTTTCCCCAGCGGGCGAGCTTTCGAGCCAAAGAGAGGCTCGAGCTTGTGCACGGGGGTATTGTGTGGCCCGGTGACACCAGCCACACCGGGAGGACGACGCTACTTCCTGCTGCTCGTCGTCGACCTCTCTCGCTACATGTGGGTGATGGTCCTCGGCAACAAGGGAGAGGCTGCGGACGCCATCGGTAGCTGCAGTCGTCGCGGAGGCGGAGTGCGGCCGAAGCTGCAGCGTCTTTGCAGACCGACAACGGCGGCGAATTCACGGCGGTTGAATTCGCGTCGTCATCGCTAATGACGAGGGCATTGGCGCCACTACTCCGCGCCGTCTGACCCGCAGCAGAAGCGGCGTCGTCGGAAAGCGCGCAACCAGAGCGGTTGTGGGGATGGCTCGGGCCCTCCCTAAGCGAGAGGGGATGCCGGCTTTTGTTTTTACGGAGAGAGGCGGTGGTGACGGCCGTCTACATCCTCAACCGCTTCGCCTACCAAAGGCGCTCGGCAGCGGGGCGCGTCGTGACGAGGCTTGGCATGGGCGCAAGCGGCGGTCTCCCACTTGCGGGTCTTGGCTCGCCAAGGAGCTTAGCCACATCGGCAAGCTCGGCAGCGAGAGCACTCGGGAGTGTTCATCGGCTACGCGGAGGGCTCGAAGGCTCACCGCATCCTCGACCGAAGACACGGCGTATGCGCACGGCATGACGTTGTGTTCGACGAAAAGGCGAGGATAGGCGTGGGACAAGCGGTGGGCGACGGCTCGGCTCCGACGCGTCGGCGACTTCACTCGTCGAGTACGTCCACGCCGAGGGGCTGGGGAGTAGGTAGCTCTTCTCGGCGAGCGCGTCTACCCCGATCCCCGAGCCTCCACCGACCCCGGCGCCTGCTACTCCGATAGCACCACGCTCTCCAGCCAGGACCTCGGCTGCGATGAGTTCTTCGCCGGCTCCACCACAGCCAGCAACGCCACGCACTCCAACACCGACAGGCACCACTCCGGGCCGTCTACCCCACCACCAGCTCGTGTCCAGCACGGCCCGGTTGAGTTCGCTACTCCGCTTTCTCACGACGAGGAGCGTGTCGACGCGTACCACGACGGCGAGCCGTTGCGGTACCGTACGCTGGAGAACCTTCTCGGCGACCAGCCGGTGCCGGGACCGGTGCCTCACGACCTGGAGGCGCAGTTGCACCTTGCGTGTGACGATGGCGAACCTCGGTTGTTTGCAGAGGCCGAGAGACACGCGGCATGGCGCGCCGCGATGCAGTTGGAGATGGATGCGGTTGAGAAGAACCGCACCTGGGAGCTTGCTGACCTTCCTCGTGGTTACTGCGCGATCACCCTTAAGTGGGTGTACAAGCTGAAGAGGGATGAAGCCGGTGCCATTGTCAAGCACAAGGCTCGCTTGGTGGCACGAGGCTTCGTGCGGCAGAGGGGAGGAGTCGAACGACGGCGCCTTTGCTCTCCGTGGCACGGATGGAGTCCGTCGCGACTCCTCCCTGCGCTTAGCTGCCCAAGAGAGGGTGGCGTGTTCATCACATAGACGTCAAGTCGGCGTTCCTTAACGGCGACTTGAAGGAGGAGGTCTACGTGCACCAGCCGCCGGGATTTGCGATCCCCGGCAAGGAGGGCAAGGTGCTCCGCCTGCGCAAGGCCCTCTATGGCTTGCGGCAGGCACCGAGGGCGTGGAATGCCAAGCTAGATTCCACGCTAAAGGGGATGGGCTTGAGCAAAGCCCGCGACGAGGCGTGACCATCTACCGACGGGCGGTGGAAGAAATGCTCTTTGGTGGGTGTCTCGTCGACGACTTGGTGATCACACCGGCACCAAGGATGCGGAGGTGGCGGCATTCAAGGAAGAGATGAAGGCCACCTTCCAGATGAGTGACCTGGGACCTCTCTCCTACCTGGGGATCGAGGTGCACCAGGATGACTCCGGGATCACGTTTCGACAGACCGCCTACGCCAAGCGCGTCGTTGAGCTATTTGGGCTCACCGGCGCAACCCAGCTCTCACTCCGATGGAGGAGAGGTCAAGCTGAACGCATGGCGACAAAGACGGCGGAGGAGGTGGGCGCCACGCGATCGGGCGTCTTGTGGGGAGCCTTCGCTACCTCGCCCACACACGGCCGGACTGGCATTCTCCGTTCGGCTACGTTAGTCGGTTCATGCAATGACCGACAATGGAGCACCAAAGAAGTTGTGAAGAGGATCATCCGCTACGTTATGGGACTCTCGACCACGGCCTCTACTACCCTAGGTGCCCTGGGCGGCACACGCCGTCGAATGCGGCATGACGGCGATGACCACGCCCGGCGACATCGACACCGGCAAGAGCACGGCGGGATCCTCTTCTTCCTCGGCAAGTGCCTCGTTAGGTGGCGGTCGGTCAAGCGCAGCAGTGGTGGCCTGTCCCACCACGAGGCCGAGTACATAGCGGCCTCCACCTCTTCGACTTCAGCGCCTGCTCGCTCGCTTCGGCGCTTAGTGATCTCCTCGGTAGAGACACTAGAGCGGTGGAGCTCAGGGTGGACAATAAGTCCGCTCTGGCCCTAGCAAAGCACCCCGTTTTCCATGAACGGAGTAAGCACATCCGGGTGAGGTACCACTTCATCCGAGGCTGTTTGGAGGACGGGAGCATCAAGGCGAGTTACATCAACACCAAGAACCAGCTTGCGGACCTGCTCACCAAGCCCCTTGAGAGGATCAAGTTCCTTGAGCTCTGCTCCAGGACCGGGATGGTTCAACTTTTCCACAAGACGACGCACAAGACTTAGGGGGAGAATGATGGATAAGTCTCTGTGGTTTTTTTGTGGGGCTGCAGCTGTGCTCCTTGTGGCTGCATGGTGAAGGACAACATCCTTGACTGGTCCTTGTGATCTTTCTGCCCAAGGACAGCACAGCACCCTTGACTAACATCTTAGCATCTAGGACTAGCATCTACGACAGCATCTTAGACTAGCATCTTGGCATATGCTTGGCTGGCTTACAGCCTATAAATATGTATTTCCAACCCTTCGGGTTGGCATGGCATTTGTGTGAGTTTGTGTGAGAAATAAACCAGAAAATTGCCCCAACTCCTAGTGTCATCCTCTCTCGATGAGAGTAAGAATTCTGCTACTACCGAGAGTGAGAGTTCAACAACTAACAAGGCATACTCGATTTCCTTGGGCGGAAGAGGGGCAAAACATTCATCAGTGCGGAAAAACCTGGTAAGAAAAAAGCTTCAACTAAGAAACTGCATCAAAACTTTATTTGCCAGGTACGTCGTCGTCCTCCTCATGGGACTTGGGTTCTGACCTTGCTGCTGCCCTTCCCGGGAATGCAGTGTTACACATTTTTGCCGAGGAGAAATCCGAGTCAGAGATGGGAGAAGATGATGGCTCAGTTCTATTTGCTGAGGGTATGGATATAAGAGATTCCGACTCAGACTCATTTTACTCGGAAGGACTCCATAGTACGGACGATGAGATGGAAGATGATATTTGTTTAGATCTTGACATGGAAAATGACAAGGAGGATGATTCCTCAGAAGAGTCTGACTGTTTTTACGAGAAATTGATAGTGGCTGAAGGATCCAAACAGAAGCAGATGGGAAAATATGATGTATGTGAACAACCCCAGTGGATGGAAGAAGATGATGACGGAATAGAGGGTCATACCAGGTCCGCTGGAAGCACTTGTTTCCAATTGAATGAGCCACCTTCTTTTGAAGCATTCCTGTGCCCTGGTAAGGCTAGCAGATCAATCCCTACTCGTTCATGCCTCACTCAACTCCACTCCACTCCGTTCATCTTTTAATTAGTTCATTCGTGTGTCATTCGTTTTGCGCTTTTCTGTTTGAGTTGATTGTTGCTTCTTGTTTACGATTTCTCTCTCTCTCTCTCTCTCTCTCTCTCTACAGAGGATCGCAAGCGCATTAAGAAGGCAAGTGAGGAGAAAGTTGATATCCTTGGGGATGAGGACGTGGTGCAGGTATTTTTACTGTTCAGTACAACCTCCAATCACAAAAGAAAGTTGTTTTAGACATTTGGTGTGGTATCAAAAGCTTTATACTCAGATTTGTTAACTTTATTATACCTTTTGTTGACAATTTTTGTCAGACAAATATGTACTCTCTCCATACCGTAATATAAGGCACATTTTCATTAGGACAAGATTTTGACTCACAATTACTAATTCAATATATCATTTATGTGACACAAAATCATATTCATAAGAAGTACTTTTGAATACGCTAAGGCTAATCGCAATGCACTGTGTCATATCACTCTCTCCAAAGCGCTACCATGTCGTTGGATATTTTTATGCATAGTATCATGGCATTTGTTTCTTAAGAACCAATGCAATTAATTATTGCATCTGTTGTACCAATGATCAGTGACGGATCCTGGGGGTGCTATGTAATGTCAAGTTCAACATCTCACTAGCTTCAAAGTTTAAACTAAATGGTATTGTAGACTTGATATGTGACAAAACAAACAATATAAAGTATTTCGTGTGAGTAACAAAGAAGAGAGATTTGATTACTCATTCTAGCCTCACTCAAGAAATTGTTATAGATAAGCCAGTGTTTCAAAGGCGTCGTGATGCCTAAGCATCCGGGCGGACCCAGCTCGCCTTGGGGAACCGGTCCGCCTTGTCGCCTAGGCGATAAGGTGTGCGCAGGTTGCCAAGGTCGCGTTGTCGCCTTTAAAACACGGAGATAAGCTAAATTTGTTACTTGAATTAGTGCTATGATACTGTGGTTGAATCAATGTGATTCTCTGTTCTGGAATCACATATATTTGGTCTATTATAATGTTTGCCTTTTTACTCCTGTTCAAATAATGCAATGAGAATAAGTATTTTGCTGATGGTGTTCTAAGTTGCATCAAACTTATGTGTTATGTCATGCATGCTCAATCAAAATATGCATCATATGGTGCTTTGGGTGAGATCTGCTCTACACAGCTTGTGTGTCTTAACTCTTGAATGATATTAATGTTGCATGCGTTATGTGAATTTACAAGTGTTCTAACACAACTTAAAACAATTGGGAACCGCACAGAATCAGAAAATTTTGTTCAAAACCAGGGGTAGAAAGTCTGAAGCTAAAATTTGCCATAAGCATTGACAAACATGATGGGAGCTACCTAAAGACATATCTGGCCCATGGGTTAGCTAGCATCCTTGAGTATATAATTTAAAGAATGGGTTCTTGATGATGTTACTCTTTATCCTTCATAATATCTCATGAAAGAATTCTCTGACCTCTGCAATTCTTCCCTTTAAGGTTGAATGTGGAATCGTCAGAAACTGGGCATGTGCAGATTTTTCATATTTGAGTCAAGAAGAGTCACACCGCTTTGTCACTAGGATTGTAGATACGTGTGTGGCCATCGGAATGGTAAAGTCTGCATTCTTTCTTTGAATAAGGCAATCTAATAATCATGCAAGACACATCTGACTTTGATTATCTTCAAAATAGGAATTTACTCCGTCACCAATAAAGGAGGCCCAGGCAGCCCCTACTGATATAGAAAGGACTTTGGTGGATCTGCATGGAAAGATCATTGATCAATTAACCAACTGTGGAAGGAAGGAAGAACAGTTAGGACTTCTACTTGTGATTCTGCCAGAGGATGGATGTTCTTATGGTATGGAAGTTATTGCTGTGTCATATTCACTTTGTTTTTGGGTGACAGCCGTATTTGATGTTTTGCAGACAAAGTGGAAGGGGTGTGTAAGACGCTTGGAATTACATTCTACCATTGTTGTGCCTGTGAAGCTATGTATCCAAGCAAGGGGCATCTTAAGAGAATCGCACATGCAATACAGTCTAAGGTCCTCCTTCCCTATTCCATGTGATTTTTGTTTGCTACAGAACTATCATGTTTTGGGTTTATTAATCAGGTTGTAATGCGTGATGCACGTCTTCGGCGACTGGCCTTACCCCTTGTGTCAGAAGCCCCAATGCTTTTTTTTTGTGCTGACATCTTCCGTTGTACGCCAGGAGACGAGGGTTCAGACTATATTTCATCTGTATGTCTCTTCCAGTAGCTAACATTTCCTTGATTCGTTTTTTGCTACGTTCCAGTGGCCAATCATTTTTTTTGGAGCCATGTAGGTGACGACTTCATTGGACTGGCCAAAATTCAGACGGTATACTGTTCAAATCTCACACGATGAAGGAACCATCAATGTGTCTGCTAGGCTTGGTTCCATGATCACGTAATTCTGTGTTTTATACAATCTCTGTGACTACCCATTGCCACATTGTTTATTTGGGGAACTAACATCATTTTTCCAGTGAGTTTATTTATTCCTTCAGCAAGACAACAAAGAGAACTGTAGAGAAGATAATCTTCTTCAGGTAAGTACCTGTGTTCCTTCCATATTTTGTCCAGTTGAGTCAGATATGCTCACACAGCCGTACCTTGCACAGAAATGGATTAAAGGATGGTCAATTTGGCGACTTTTACCATCAAGAGATGAGTGCTATTAAAACAGTACTAATACAATGTGATTTGCCCTCCTGTATCTGATTTGGTTTGGCTAGCTCACTTTGATGGTTTTATGCTTCTTCCCTTGAAAGTCTTGTGCCTATTTCATGGATGGATATGAACCACGCATCACATATGTGGTTGTGTTGCCTCATACAAAGATGGAGATGACCAACGAAAGTGGTTAGTGTCTTTACTTTAGCTTCTAAGGGCATATCCGCATATGCGTGCGGCTTCTCATAGCTTTGGTGACTGGGTGTTCTTTTATAGGAACTGGGGAGGACCTGACTGGGTATAAGTTCTGGTGCCGTCATTCTGGTGGCAAGATACAGTGGATTTTAATTTGCTGAATCCATGACTGGCTGTTCTTAAAAATGTTATTGAGCTATTATATTGGTTGCCTGTAGAAATTCTCTACACTGGTCTGTTATCATGTTGTTCATGATGAGAACAATTTTCTGCCTGGTGAACTTCAATCTCTAACCTCTAAGCTTTGCTGCATGTAAGTTTGAACTACACCTTTTGAATTGCTTTGCTGTAACCCACTATTAGTTGGCACCTCTGACCATCTTGACGTTGTCAAATGCAGCCGCGATCGTCGGGCCTACCCAGAAATAGACATTGGTATGACTTAGCCATGAATTGCTCTCCCTCCCTCCCTCCCTCCCTCGCTCTCGCTCTAGTAAATGTCACTATATTTCCTGTTTGTGCCTTGTATGATTGCTTCCATTATACTTACAACTTATGCACTCGTATAGTTCCGCCAGCCTTCTACGCTCGGCATGACGGAATGGCGGCTCTTGAAGAATGGGGAAGAAACGAAGCGACTGACGAAATTTCAGAGCAACTGATGAAAACTCAGAGCAACTGAATCCTTTCTATTGATGTGAATGATGACATCCTCCAGCAAAAAGTTAGCCAGACATGTATCCAACTTATTTAAGATGCTTTATGTATTTTGAATTTGAACTTTGTGTGCGAGCGGGTAAGCTGTTGAACCCATTTTGCACAGACATGTGATCCTTGTGAACTGTCCGCAGCTGTCCTGTAAGGTCCGGTTGGGCAGTGGGCACTAAGGCCAGGAGAAGGACCAGCATCCTTAGATGAGATCATTTTGTAACTTGGTTTTCCGGAACCACAAAATTCTTACTAAGCACTCTTACGGTCTAGATTTCATTATGTGCCAATTGTGGGAAGCTGGAGACACTGTGAGTTTTAAATGTTTGTCGTGTTAGAAAGTTGGCCTTGATCCTTTTTAGATTGATTCTTGCGTTATGTTATTATGTGGACAGGATGTTCTTTAACGGAAGCAAATGGAGTGTAACGGCACCCTCTGAGATTGCACCAACACCTCTTCTCAAATTTGAGCCCAGTAGAATGTTACATGTACAACCTGGACTTGGACTTGTGAATTCCGCTGTGAGACGTGCATTGGGCCTGAATGGGAAGGAAGCATCTAGATGCAGAGGCAAAGTCGTTTGGAGAAAGGGCGCGCCAAACTGCACAAGCAGTCAGGAACTCGCGTGAGCGGTGGCCCGTGGGTGGGTTTGCAACTGTCACATGCTCGCTCCGTCCCACGCTGGCGTTATGGGTACGTGCAAATCAAACTTTTTTAATAAAAAATACGTGCGAATAAAAGTATATTCAACAATCTATCTAATAATACTAATTATATATTATAAACATTAATATTCTTTTTATATATAATTTGTCAAAGTTAAAAAAAACTGACTTCTCGAAAGCGAGAACGACTTCTATTTTAGGATAGAGGGGGTACATGCCCATCAATAAACAGTCTGTTCGCTTGTTGGTTTCAACCAGCCCAAATCAACCAACAATGTTTTCCTCTCATAATAAATCAGCACCAGCCAGCCTAAACCAGCCCAAAAACCAGCGAACGGGCCGAAAACCTTCATTTTATTATGTTACCCAATCTCTTATGGCGTTGTCACAAGAAAACATGTCCTTCACTGTATATGCATTACATCTGTTTCAAAATTTGTTCAACTTGGCTTCGAAAAACCATCATGAAGGCTGAAATGGCATAAACAATCAATTAAAGTAATGTAACCCTAATAATATATATTCTCGTCTGCATGTACATCGAACTGTATCATAAACACAAGATTTCCACTATATTTGGAAACAAAAATACTCTCTTTTAGTACTAAGCACGGACATGCTACAAGGATTACTCTCTAGTCCTGATCCCTTCAAATACAGTGCCTTCGTTCTATTGCGATGTGCTTGCAGAACATTCCACACACGAGTAATGGCACCAGAATCAAACCACTAGGTATTACTGGGCCCTAGAGTGAGATTTAGTTCCAACTTCCAAGAATGCAGAAAAGTCTTGTATATACCTTTTTCTCGAACCATATTTTCCACTTGAAATGGCCACCTTTTTTGCAGAAATGGCATCTCAACTTCTCTCGCTTCTTCCTTTGCCGCTACAACCTGCAGGCACCATTAATCACTATGAAAACTAACCGTTAAACCATTTATAGTTCATGTGCATCACTTTACACACCATCAAATAACGTTTAATAGTGATAGTCAATGAAATTAGCAATAACAAAATGAATCTTCTAAAGAGGTACAGTGACAGAGGTCTGTACCCCTTTGTTCATACAATCAACTTGGTAAACTTGCTTGAGGCTTCTGATCAGTATGACTATCATGCTGCTGCAAACCTTGGGAGGTTTGATGTTGCTGTGAAATGTTTGAGCTAGAAGCTTGCCCACCAGACTGCTGAAACGTTTGCAGTCCAGGCGCCTGCACAGGCTTCCTTCTTTGTGAACTTAGGAAACTGAGAATTTGCCTCTCGTAAATAGGGATTTTTTCCCTAAAACCTGGCTTGTTAACTTGAAGGAAATGCAATGTGCGCTCCAACATTACTTTAAAGCCCTTCATCTTTTCATACTGCTCTGCTGACTTTTGAGCAGGCATGTGGTTGTCAATATGTTGTATCTTCATGGATATCTTATTGTACAAATCATTCAATTCCACAAAGTATTGGTCCTTTAAGCTCTTAATCTGTGCACAAATGGACGAAAAACCGATAAATTGGTTGCCAAAGTTACACGTTGATGAGTATACAGAAGGTAAAAATTGAATAGAACAAGGCTTTCCATTAAGCCACAAGTATGATACAAGATCGACTGGTTGCAATTACAAGCATGGAATCTGGCACAAAAAGGGTAACTATGAAGTCCACTGCATGAATCATGTGTTCTTTAGATCATCCCAATTAACTTATCAAAAATCTACTGAAAAAAGTAACCTTCGTACATCTAGATATCATTTGCTCCAAAAAATACTAATGGTCAGCCAGAAAATAGCACATCTACATACAAATGCTAAAATATCATTGTTGTATGGATTTCAATTCCAACTTAATCTTAAAAAAGAGCGGAAACAAGGAGGTTTGTTTGGCAAAAGAACAGACCAATAGAAAGCAGTAGAAGTAATTTAGGGGCAACAGAAAGTGAAATCCTATCTAAAGGGGAAAGTGAGCTAAAAGCGATAATGCCAATGGGACTGTAGCATCCTTTACCATTTGATATAACTCCTCTTGCAAATCACCTGTGCCTAGATGACCAGTTTGAGCAGTGGAATCCACAGATGCTGCGTAGAAAGCAAGGTTGTCAAAACTCAATCAACAACATGAACAAGCAATCAAGTACCTTGTACAACATAGAGTCAGATGCAAACAGCGACTGGAAAATTTCTATGCTACTAGTGGAAAGAGTCAGAGAAGGGCGGGCCTGGTGCAAGCGGTAGAGTCTTACCGCCTGTGACCGGAAGGTCCCGGGTTCGAGTCGCGGTCTCCTCGCATTGCACAGGCGAGGGTAAGGCTTGCCACTGACACCCTTCCCTAGACGCCGCACAGAGCGGGAGCTCTCTGCACTGGGTACGCCCCTTTTTTAGTGGAAAGAGTCAGAACAATGAACTAAAGGATAGAGTACAAAGAAGTATTGCAGAGTAGCATTTACAACAATACCAAACACAAATGAGAACCATATTTCGTGAAGGAAAAACGCTGACAATCAACTCAGTAAAAATGGCAGCCACCATAGACTGTAGTATATAACTACACCAGAATTATGTATATATGGTTGCCATTTCGATTTTTTTTTGTCTAAACAGTTAGAAGCCTTTTCTTCCAGCATAAACATTGCCTTTAGATTTGTGAGATGTTAGAGCTAGGAGCTTGCCCACCAGATTGCTGAAACGTTTGCAGTCCAGGTGCCTGCACAGGCTTCCTTCTTTGTGAACTTACGATACTGAGAACTTGCCTCTCGTAAATAGGGATTTTTTCCCTAAAACCTGGCTGAATGCTGCTCGTGTTAACTTGCAGGAAATGCAACGTGCGCTCCAACATTACTTTAAAGCCCTTCATCTTCTCATACTGCTCTGCTGACTTTTGAGAAGGCATGCGGTTGTCAATATGTTGTATCTTGATGGATATCTCATTGTACAAATCATTCAATTCCACAAAATATTGGTCCTTTAATCTCTTAATCTGTGCATAAATGGGCGAAAACCCGATAAATTGGTTGCCGAGGTTACATGTTCATGAGTATACAGAAGGTAAAAATGGAATAGAACAAGGCTTTCCACAAAGATCGATTGGTTGCAATTACAAGCATGGAATCTGGCACAAAAATGGTAACTATGAAGTCCACGGAATGAATCATGTGTTCTTTAGATCATCCCAAATAACTTAAAGATCAAAATCCTACTGCCTAAAGAAAAAAAAAAGTAACCTTCGTACATCTAGACACCATCTGCTCCATAAAATACTAATCGTCTGCCTACCTATCCAAGTTCCGCAGAATGCCTGAGCCCTTTTTACGTGGCTGTTATCTGCATTTTGGGCAGCGGAGAATCTATTAAATTCTGGAAGGATCATTGGTTACAAGGAAAGACTATAGCTGAACTTGCCCCAAACCTGTACAGTTTGGTTCCTAAGAGAATAATAAAAACTAGGACAGTTGCGCAGGCCCTCAACAATCATGGATGGGTGAAGGACAAAAGAGGCGCTCTATCTGTTCAGGTCTTGGTGGAATATTTGCAGATCTGGGATTTGGTGGATGAAGGGCGGGCCTGGTGCAAGCGGTAGAGTCTTACCGCCTGTGACCGGAAGGTCCCGGGTTCGAGTCGCGGTCTCCTCGCATTGCACTGGCGAGGGTAAGGCTTGCCACTGACACCCTTTCCCAGACCCCGCACAGAGCGGGAGCTCTCTGCACTGGGTACGCCCTTTTGGGATTTGGTGGATGGGGTAATTTTGCAGCAAGATACTCCTGATCAATTTTGTTGGAAGTTGACACAATCCGGCATCTGTCCAGCAAGTCAACCTATGATGCTTTTTTACTGGGAACAATCAGATTCTCCCTCGAAAAGGATCTGGAGGAGTTGGGCTCCTTTAAAGTGCAATTTTTTTATCTGGCTAGCCAGGCTGATCGGCTGGCTAAACGTGGGTTACCCCACCCTTCAGCCTGACCCTTATGTGATCACGCAGAGAGTCAATTCATCATATCCTTGTATCTTGCGTCTTCTCTCGACAGGTCTGAACTCTGATCTTGAGCAGACTGGGTTTACTAACTATTGCTCCTCGGCCTGGAGAGTCTCGATTTTCCAATTGGTGGTGCAAAGCAATCAAGGGGTTTGATAAAAAAATGAGAAAAGGGCTGAATTCTTTAATCATCTTGGTCGTTTGGGAAACATGGAAGCATTGTAATGCTTGTTTGTTCGAAGGAGCTCCTCCAAACGTCCAATTGGTTCTACAAGCTGTGGCTAATGAGAGTGCTTTGTGGTGCATGGCTGAAGCCTGTGCTCTTAATGAGATCTTCCTTCAGCTGCGAAGCACACAGACTTGATGTGTGCTGGGGTGTTTTTTTTTCTTTTGGTTTTTCTTGGTTTTAAGTGTTGGGTGCAGGAGTTAGTTTTTTTTTCTCCCTTCTACCTGGAGTAGACTCTTGTCTCTCTGTTTTTCTTTCTTCTTAATGAAATGACACACAACTCTCCTGCGTTGTTCGAGAAAAAAAAGAAAATAGCACATCTACATACAAATGCTAAAATCATTGTTGTATGGATTTCAATTCCAACTTAATCTTAAAAAAGAGCAGAAACAAGGAGGTTTATTGGCAAAAGAACAGACCAATAGAAAGCAGTAGAAGTAATTTAGGGGCAACAGAAAGTGGAAATCCTATCTATAAAGGTGAAACTGAGCTAAAAGCGATAATGCCAATGGGACTGTAGCATGCTTTACCATTTGATATAACTCCTCTTGCAGATCACCTGCGCCTGGATGACCAGTTTGAGCAGTGGAATCCACAGATGCTGTGTAGAAAGCAAGGTTGTCAAAACTCAATCAGCACTGTGAATAAGCAATCAAGTACCTTGTACAGCATAGAGTCAGATGCAAGCAGCGAGTGGAAATTTCTGTGCTACTAGTGGAAAGAGTCAGAACAATGAACTAAAGGATAGAGTACAAAGAAGTCTTGCAGAGTAGCATTTACAACAATACCAAACACAAATGAGAACAACATTTCGTGAAGGAAAAACGCTGACAATCAACTCAGTAAAAATGGCAGTCATCGTAGACTGTAGTATATAACTGCACCAGAATTATGTATATATGGTTGCCATTTCCAATTTTTTTTGTCTAAACAGTTAGAAGCCTTTTCTTCGAGCATAAACATTGCCTTTAGATTTGTGAGATGTTAGAGCTAGTAGCTTGCCCACCAGAGTGCTGAAACGTTTGCAGTCCAGGTGCCTGCACAGGCTTCCTTCTTTGTGAACTTAGGATACTGAGAATTTGCCTCTCGTAAATAGGGATTTTTTCCCTAAAACCTGGCTGAATGCTGCTCTTGTTAACTTGCAGGAAATGCAACGCGCGCTCCAACATTACTTTAAAGCCCTTCATCTTTTCATACTGCTCTGCTGACTTTTGAGAAGGCATTTGGTTGTCAATATGTTGTATCTTGATGGATATCTTATTATACAAATCATTCAATTCCACAAAGTATTGGTCCTTTAAGCTCTTAATCTGTGCACAAATGGACAAAAACCCGATAAATTGGTTGCCGAGGTTACATGTTCATGAGTATACAAAAGGTAAAAATGGAATAGAACAAGTCTTTCCATTAAGTCACAAGGCTGACACAAGATCGATTCATTACAATTACAAGCATGGAATCTGGCACAAAAATGGAAACTATGAAGTCCACCGAAGGATCATGTGTTTTCTAGATCAAACCAATTAACTTAAAGATCAAAAACCTACTGCCCGAAGAAAATAGTAACCTTAGTACATCTAGACACCATCTGCTCCATAGCACATATGGTCATATGAACACAGATCCGCCAAAATACTAAAAGTCGGCCAGAAATTCTAAGATATCACACTTGTATGGATTTCAATTGCAACTTTATCTTAAAAAGAGCGAAAACGCGGAGGCTCGTTTGGCAAAATAACAGACCAATAGAAAAGCAGCAAAAGGAATTTAGGTGTAACAGGAAGTGGAAATCCTAACATTTCAATACAGTCAGTCAGTTATCACATCTTATATCGAAAATGTGCAAGTGAGCTAGAAGCGATAATGCCAATGTGATTGTAGCATGCTTTACCATTTGATATAACTCCTCTTGCAAATCACCTGTGCCTGGAAAACCAATTTGAGCAGTGGAATCCGCAGATGCTGCATAGAAAGCAAGGTTGTCAAAACTCAACCAACAACATGAACAAGCAATCAAGTAGCAACCTTGTACAGCATAGAACAAGATGCAAGCAGCGAGTGGAAAATTTCTGTGCCTACTAGTGGAAAGAAGTCACAACAGTGAATTGAAGGTTTAGGTGGCAAGCCAAAATTTGGCTCTAGCTAAATCAGGGCATGGCCAAAATTTCATCCTATTAGACATGTTTGGATGGTGACCAAACCAAAGCTATTGAACATGCCAATACAATTGTGTGTATGACGTGTGGGATTCACCCATCACTAATTGCTTTTATTATAAAAATATACTCCCTCCACTCAAAATAATAAGATATTTTGGCTTTTCTAGATACATTGCTTTTGCTATGTATCGAGACATAGTGTATATCTAAATGCATAGCAAAATCTATGAATCTAGAAAAGCCAAAACGTCTTATAATTTGAAATGGAGGGAGTAGTGAACATGGATCTTGTTTTGTAAATAAAATCGATGCAAAAATTATCATGCAAACAAAATGCAAATTAGTAATATGGTTTAGGAGATAATATCATTTAAGCTTATAAATCATAGGTTATTGAAGTACGTTCAGCCACTGTCTAGCTGCCACGTCACCCTTGTATGGTTTGGCGGCTAAAAATGCCTAGGCCGCGGCCGCCGCCTGCCTGGCTGTCTCGGCCGCCCACACAGCCGCGGCCTCTGCAGCAGCGATGCGCGCGTCGCGGCTGCGCTCTGCGTCGGGGTTTACCACCGCGGCGGCGACACGAGCTCGCTGGCTGGAGGTGGTGGATCAGACGGACATGGCACCACACAAGGGAAAACCTAGGCTCTATATACCAATTGTTGGCAAAGACACAGGTTTGGGATTTTTCAGATTTCTATTGCTATGCCTGAACCGGCTGGGTATGTTACATTATATAGACCAAGTGGTCTTGCTTACAACTAAAGCTACCAGCTAAAGCATAAAGTAGAGCAACAACTAAAGTAGAAGATAAGCTGCTAAAGCACTATATAAGATGCCATGACAAGGCACTAATTACTACTACTTATCCTAGAGATGGAGCTCCAAAATATCAACAGCACAAGACTTATTCCTTCACTCTTAACATGGAAAACTTACTTATCGCCCAAATATCTTGCATGTGATCACTTTTTTGAGAAGCAAATACATTGATAGCACAAAAAATAAGTTTAATGTTGCATGTGCTGTGTATGGTACCTGGACCAGGGCGGTTTTGATTTGAAATCACTTGAGCATTTACAGGGTTCTGTTGTGTATTTGTCTGACTTTCCATGGACAGCATTTCAAAGAAATCTTCCGCAAATAATCAGACTGAGTCATACAAAATAGAAGATTTAAGTTGTGGTTTTGCATCAATACAATTTACATGAGCAAGATGCATGGGCCCATGATATTTTGGTACCACACCTCCTAAGTATGACTAGCATAGTATCCATGCATTGCCCCCATCATGTGTGTTAGCATGATAAAAAGATGCTAAAAGCATCTAAAGTTGACCTAAAAGCCTTTCAGATTATTCATAGATCAAACTTTTATACCATTGACCTACCCCATGACTAAACATTCTGACTCTGTACAGGAGCATACTAGAGTTAGGTTAAATGTACCTGGTTGATGGCTGCAGTATAGATTTTCTCTTCAAATCGCACGGCAATTTTGTGAAGCTCACCCAGCCCCTCTGGCACTGATACTGGCAGATGCTTCTTCAGAGTCTCCATTCTACATATACAATGCAAGATGTTATATATTGAGAGATACACTGAAAAATGTGTTTGATTACCATTTAATTAGCCCAGTAAACTACATAAATAGTGTACTAGTGGCAAAAGTGGCATGAAATTTGTGGACCACTAATGCACATACATATGGTTTTCACTAAGCCTTCTAGGGTAAAATGGACACAGTCGAATGGCATACCGCATACCGAATGCTAAAAGCTCCCACACAAGGTGAGGGTCTAGGGAAGGGGACTTTTAGATGGTTTTACCCTTGCTTATTTTGCAAGGAGGTTGACACAAGTGGAGACAGTCAGTAGTCTGCTGCTGCGCCATGCCCACCCTTCACTGGAGATAAAGAACATTTGAAAAAAAAATCAAGTATTGGGTTGTCGCATTCTACTCCCATACCTTAAAAAAACTCAAATGCACATTAATGTCTCCTCTCGTGGCTGACGAAAAAAAAAGAGTAGTCACATGTGCATATGCAAGAGTTAGATCTCACACGATATGCAGCTGTGTATGTGTGTGTTTATGGTGCAAAGATGGCCTTATAAAGATATCTTTAAACAAGTAGACAAGTAGTTTCTATTTCTACTGGTGATTTTGATAATTAAATTAGGTTTAAAGATGCATAGTCTTATAAAGAATGATGGATTGGGTGCCATCAATGCGACTATATGGAGCCATATGTCGCGGACAAACGAGTGGGCGATCTGTGGGGAAACAAACGAGTGCACGGATGGATCAGCAAACCCTACCCTGGAATCATGACAGTGTATACAAATAAGTAGAGAGGAAGCAAGTGTCCACGGATCGAATCGTAAAAGCAGCGACATGGTGCCGCCACGGCTCAAGGAAAAGAATCGAATTGCTTGACAATTCCCGTCACAGGGGGGGGGGGCTGCTGTTGCGCTCCTCGGGCTGAAGCTGGGTGCGCCAGTCGCCTCCGGCGGGGGCAGCCGCGTTAGGGTCGACGCCACCGGCGTCAGCGATGGCGGCAGGGCCGTCCCCCAGCGTGGGGCGCCAGTTGGCGGCGCCGTCCATGGCTTTGGACTCGGCCGCCTCTTTCTCGAATCTGATTGCTGACTTCGATCGATCTGCTGGTCGACGAAGGAGGGAGTACCTCCTCCCGCCCCTCTCTGATAAGAGAGGAGCAATTGTAGCGAGAAGTGCCGTGCAGGAGGCCAAGGAGCGACCAAGAAAGGCAAGAAGGAAATATGAAAATAAGTGTCTGTTTAGTTTTCAAAATTTTGTAAAATTTTTCAAGATTTTTCATCGCATCGAATCTTTAGACGCATGCATGAAGTATTAAATATAAATAAAAAATAAAACTAATTACACAGTTTAGACGAAATTCACGAGACGAATCTTTTAAACCTAATTAAACTATGATTGGACACTAATTATCAAATAACAACGAATGTGCTACAGTACCATTTCCTCAAAAATTTCACCAACTAAACAAGGCCTAAAGCTCAAAGTCAAAGCTAACACGCTAGACGTCATGGGCTTTGGATATTCATTCTCTTACAGAAAAGGCCCATCACTTAGTGGGCTTAGAAGAGAATCCATCCCAGTAGTCTGTCCGGCCCACCCTATCTTGGTCGCCATCTCCGTCTGCAGGTCTCCATTGGGAGGGAAGGGGAGAGCACCTGCGTGTCCTCCTGCGCAGTGGCGGTTGGTAAGGGCAACTCCAATGGAAGTCCTTATCTCAGCCCTCATCTCATTTTGAGGGTCCAAAACACAAAAAACGTTCTCCAACCCATCTCCTATCGGCCCCCGACGGATGAGGATGCCTCATTCCTCTCTCCTCGTCCCCCACATCCGAGGCAATCCTATCCGAAGCCTCATCCGGCGGAGGGGAGGAACGGCCATCTTCCCACGCCGCCCCGGAGTTCTCCATGGCGGTATGTCCCCATCCTTACATTTCGTTTGGTGTCGCCCCATGGCGCTGGCGCCCTCGTCACCTTCTGCTGCTTTGCCAAATCTGCTTCCTTCTCGCCCATGGCCGCCCTTTGCTCCCGCAAGTGAGAGGTCGCCCCTCTTTGCTGCTGCTCGTTCGTCTTCTTTGGAGCTTGTGACCCACATAACTTCTTTGGAGCGGCCTCCTGCTCGCATCCCAAATCTCGACGAGATAAATTTTTTTAATTTGTTTAATAGGTGAAGAATGACCGGCTACAGCTTGCCCATTGATGTGTTGGAGGTGTCAATTAGGCCATTTCATTTTTTTATTCAATAGGTGAAGAAGGTTCTGAAGCTTATGCGATTCTGAGATGGCCAAAATTGCCAGTAGAACTTTTATGACTTTCATAAGATTGTTTAGACCTATTGAATATTATCTGTTGATTGTAGACAGATTAAGGTCTTATTATTTAGTAGTTCAAGTTGATTTTGTGTTCTTAGAATTATTGAAGACAATTCCTATATGCAGGAAGAAAAAATGCAGAGTTGGTTGATTTGGTCTCAGCCAATGTGGAAACCAATGGTCTATTTTTTGATGACTTTCAAGTTAAAACACATGTTGAACAAGTTGCTGAACAATCAACTCCCCCCTTGAAACCAAGTAAGAAGAGGACTAGAAATTTCACCCCCTAGGAAGACAATATGTTGTTGACAGCATGGCTAGAAATTAGCTTGATCCAGTTCAGGGCACTGATCAAACTCGTAGTACCTATTGAAAGCGAATTCATGATTACTATCATGAGCACAAGACTTTTGAGTCAGAGCGTAATATCAGTTCTCTCTCTCACCGTTGGGGTATCATCCACAAAAGTGTTAATAGATTTTGTGGATGGTATACTCAGGTTCAGAATAGAAAAGAAAGTGGGCTGACAGAACAAGATAGGGTAAGTTATTTATTTGTGTTAATTGATTGGAAATGTATATGTTTTGTGCATCGTAGTCAACACATGTTTCTTGTGCAGATAGAACAGGTAAAGAAAATGTATCAGGCAAAAGATCCGGAGGGGAAATCATTTACTTTCATACACTGCTGGAATAAGTTGAAGCATGAGCAAAAGTGGGCTGATCTAGGTTGTGAAAACCTCTCAAAACTCTTAGAAAAACACAAGACGTCCTCAACTACAAGTCTAGGGTCATGTACACCTGGAACTCATGAAAGTAAGCATGCTAATGAAGAGGAGCGACCAAGTCATACATCACCAAGGAAAGGAAGGCCAGATGGTAAGGAGAAGGAGAAAGCATGCAGGTTTGGAAATCCTAACTCTCAAGGAGAAGGCTTTTACATGGAGGCAATGAAAAAATTATGGACAAAGAGAGAAAAGACGGAAGAGATGAGGGAGATTAAGAAAAAAGAACATAATGATGAGAGGCTTGAGGTAAAGACTAGAAGGCTTGAAATCAAGCAACAAGTAGAGAATAGGAGGTTGGATTTAATGCAACAAGAAATAGAGTTGAAACGGAGAGAAGATGATGAGAAAGTTATGAATATGGACCTTACTAGTATGAGTGAGCAACGAAAGGTATTCTATAAGACATTGCAGGATGAGATCATTGCTTGACATTGTGGTGCTCGCAACTAGAGGCATCGTGTTTTATTTGTGCACTATGAACTATGTTTATTTAAATTATATATCAGTATGTTTGTTATCCAAGGAACCCTGTAAGCATAATTTGTGGCTCGATTATGGACCTCTATGTGTAGTGATTGTTAAATTGTGTGCACAAATGACTGATGAAATTGACTGATACATGACTAAAAATAGAGAGTACAAGACTTATACATGACTAATAAAATAGAGGGTACATGACTGATACATGACTCATAAAATAGAGGATACATGATTGATAAAATAGAGGGTACAAGACTACATGGATATGATGGTACACTACTGATAGATGTCCGGGTGTTGTTGCCAAAGGTGCTCGATAAGATCGTGCTGAAGTTGGGTGTGGATTTGCCTGTTTGTGATATTGTGATGAGCTTATAAGTTGGGTGTGGATTTGCCTGTTTGTGATATTGTGATGAGCTTGTATGAATTCATGGAACTCCTGTGTACGATTATGAGCTTCATGTGGAGTAGGCCTCACAAGCTGGCCGACACCCTCGTAATGGTCATCTTCGTCTTTGTCTTCACTGCGCTCGTCTTCGACGATCATGTTGTGCATGATGACACAAGCTGTCATTATTTGTCTAAGTGTTGCTTTATCCCACATACGAGCTGGTCCACGAACAATGGCAAATTGAGCTTGAAGAACCCCAAAAGCTCTTTCGACATCCTTCCTAACCGCTTCTTGTGCCTTAGCAAAGTATTTCTTCTTATTTCCTTGGGGATTTGATATGGTCTTCACAAATGTCGTCCATTGGGGGTAGATGCCATCTACAAGGTAATACCCCATTGTATAATTATTACCGTTAATGCTAAAATTAACTTCTAGGGCATCTCCTTTGGCTAGCTTTGCAAATAGATGGGAACGATGAAGAACATTGATATCATTGTGTAACCCTGATAAACCAAAAAAGGCATGCCAAATCCAAAGATCATATGATGTGACTGCTTCGCGTATTATTGTAGGCTCATGCTCATGCCTAGTATATTGTCCGCGCCATGGGTTAGGATAATTCTTCCACCTCAAATGCATGCAATCCAAACTCCCAAGCATTGCTAGAAAACCCCTTCGCTACCCGATTGCAAGCAATCTAGCGGTGTCATTCTCATTAGGGGATCTCAGATACTCCTCTCCAAATATTTCAACAACAGCTTTGACAAACCTTCTAAGGCTTTGTATGACAGTACTTTCACCAATACGAATGTATTGATCCATGAAATCAGCTGGTACTCCATAACTAATCATAAAAAAGCTGTAGTAATTTTTTGCAAAGATGATAACCCGAGTCATCCAACTCTATCTCTTTTTTGCTCGAAGTAATTATCATGTTGCTCTATAGCTTGCACTATGCGACAGTGGCAGAGCCAGGAATTTGCGGCTAGGTATGCCACATGTATAAAATTTCAAAGCAAGATTGATAAGTTATAATGGCCAAAACAAATCCATAATAATAACCAAAGTACAAGTTCGAAACATAAATAAATCATCATTCCGCATTGGCACAAGTTGGGGAGCTTCACCATCATTTTGTGCTGGCACAAGTGCTAACGTCATATCGCTCCATTACTCTCAATCTCAACAGAATGAGCATTTGGTGTGGATGTGGAGGGTTTTTCCCCTTTGCCTTTGCCTCTGCAGCTTTCTCCCACAATGCAACACCCTTCTTCATCTACATTACAAAAATTAAGAATACAACCAAGAGAATTAGAAAAAGAAATTTTCATTAGCTCACTGGACCACTGAGGAGTGGATCTAGGCTCTGGGGTGTTCTACATCTGTAGGATCTACTGGAAGATAAAGAAGGCATAAAGGGGGGTGAATAGGCCTATAAAAATTCAACTCGAGACTCTGTTAGAACAGAGGACGGCACTACCGGCCTTACAGGGCAGCACTGCCGCTCTACAAAAAATAATCTAACACAGTTGAGATTTAACAGAGATGAACCTGACCCCACTAGCTGTTTAATCCTGCAATATAGAGTCAAGATCCAGTTCAAAGACTGGATACCATAGAAACTTCACACAAGAGTGAATCGAGCAACTAAACCCTAACAACAGCTAGCAATAAAGTAAACAACAAGTATAGTAAAGATGAAGCATGCGAGACACAAGATTTTATCCCGTGGTTCAGCTCACCACTAAGGTTTGCCTAAGTCCACGTTGTTGAAGAAGCCACAAAAGGCTTGAGCTTGCCACCAAGGCTTGCTTTACCCTCGTTCTCAAATCAAGTGAGTGAACTCTTGAAGTGAGGGGTGATTTCTTAGCTTTTGAATGAGGTTACAAACCTCTCAAGGCTGCCACACGAGTTGGTAAGCACAAGGACGACGCCTAGTCGGCTAGGAGCAAGCTCCAAGAGTAACAAACCCTAGAACCGCCGGCCAAACATGAACCAAATGCTCTTAGACTTTGGGAATCAGTGGATCTCCTCTCCAATCAAGTTTTGCTGCCTTTTCTCTCAAGTTTTGATGGTTGGAA